TCCATGCCAACTACTTGCTCAATTATTTCCTTTCTGGCGGTGCTTTTAACTCGTCCTAGTTCACTCCCCCTTTCATTTCATCTCTCAGAAAACCACACAAGAAAATTTGCAATTGCCTATGTGCTTCTGCACACTTTTGAGTGGGTTTAACACACACACCAAAAAGCCCTCTTGATATTTTTTTAGGCATAATAGAACCAGCACATTAGAAGGGGAAGCCTACTGTTATGAATGGAAATACATGTGAGTGTAGATCCCTCTTGTCTAACTCAGATAAGGGGAAAGTCAGTCAACAGCTAAATAATGCTTGAATGTAGACAAGCCCTAAGTCTGGAGTCAAATTATGATTTTTAAATTGTATTCCTTCTAGTAGTATTTATGAAAGCAGAAGATGTGATAGTTGCTAGAAAAGGCCAAAATCAATCATACATGTGGCAAAAACGTGTCTAATTTAAATTTTCTTGACCTCTGCCCCCTTCTCAGTAACAGCATAACTTGACTGGATGACTACCTGACCAAAATCTGGAATTTGGATGAGATGGCAATTCACTTAAAATCAAATAGTTTTTGGAAAATGGCCTTGTGGGTGAAATTGGGACCCCTGCTGGGCCAAATATGACCTATGAGTGAGAAAGTTATAGGGCTGCAATTAACTATTATACATTCTATTGTAGGTCAGGTCACCATATCTATATAGATCAGTCAAATTAATTACTTCCAGTGGCAACATTATGACTTGTATATTCATTGACCGCTAAAGAAGACCCCCTGTGAGGGCTCATCCACATTTCTGCTTGTTCCGTGTCTAGAAAGCACAACTCTGAGCGGTTTCCCCCTTGCCCACTCCTTTCCCAGGGAAAACTTGCTCTTTTGTGCTCAGCCGGAGCAAACATCAACCTGGAGAAAACCTGAATTGCTGTTTGCTCCGATTGAGCACTAAAGAGCAGTTTTCCCCAGAAGAAAGCAGCAGGAAAAGATTACGGGTAGATAAGCCCAGAGTTGAATTGAATCTGGTCTTCAGCATTAATTTTATTGTGGTCATCAAGGAGTTGGTCACATGAGCCTGATGTTTAGGCATCACCTTACATTGTTGTGTTAGTAATGATTTAACCTTATCAAGGGGAGGGTTTTCAAATGCGTAGTAAGTAACCACACCCACCCGTATGGACTCAATCTAGGTGAGCATGAATGGTTCCAGACTGAGAAAAACTACATTGGTCAGGAAGACTGATTGTAAGAGCCCTGGGTCACAAGTTTGTGTGCTCCTGACTGGGGAAGCCTTATTATTATTATTATTATTATTATTATTTGCACTCCACCCATCTGACTGGGTTTCCCCAGCCCCTCTGGGTGCCTTCTAACATACATAAAAGCATAATTAAACATTAAACATAAAAACATTTAAATCGGTAGCCAGGATTGTTTTATTAGCTTCACCCAACTGCAGACGTTTCTAGAGAAGGTAGACCTAGCCACAGGGGTCCATGCTCTGGTCATGTTCATACTGTACTCCTGTAATGCATTTTATGTGTGGTTGCTTTTAGAGGCAGTCTGGAAACTTCAGCTGGTTCAGATTGTGGCTGCCACAGTCCTCATGGGTGCACAACAGTCAGCTTCACCAGTTCCTGTATTATACCAGCTACGCACTGACTTCTGCTATGTTTCTTGGCCCATTTTAAAGTGCTTAAGCTATAAAACCCTAAACGGGCCTGAGCTATGTGATGGACCATGTGCACCCATACCATCCAGACTGCACACTGAGGTCTCAGTCAGAGGCCATCTTGGTGTGTCCGCTGCCTAGGAGGTCTATGAAGTTGGTGACCATGTGTCAGAGAGGACCTTTTATGCAGTGATTGTTCCTTTGGCACACCCAGTGGAACTGTGCTAACATTGCTGAGCTGCTTGTGTGTCACTCTGACTTGCACCTTTACTATGTTGTGATTTGGCTGGATTATAGTCAATATGTTAAATGTTTTTAACCATTGTGGTTCCATCATTGATCCTATTAGGGCTTAATTTGACCCAGGGCTCAGCACTGTGCCTGTTTTCTGTGCAAAGGCTTCCACCCTAGGATATATGAAGTGAGAAGACAGGTCCCTGAACACTGGCATTTTTTCACCAATGAGTAAACATGGGAGTCCCCCCTTGGCAGGGCCTGGGGAAGGGCTTCCAGCCTGAGCTGTTGGTCAGGAAGACTTGAGCCCCACCATTTATTCTGCTGTTGATTGCAGGAGGCAAAAGCAAAGCTGAAGTCTGCCCCTTGAGTGATGCGCTGGTTCTAAAAGGATATAATCCGCTAACTTGGAGTTCAGGATTTCAACAGGCAAAGAGCAACAAGTCAGTTTTAAAGAAGAGACTCTAAGATTAACAGTGTCTGTTAATGGTCAACTAACTTGCAGAGTTAGCTAAACTGTCCAGATCAGATGTGAGCCAACAGGAAAAGAGAAGTGGGGGAGGTTCAAACAGGAAAGGATGTATCGGGAATTGGTTGGAACAAAACTGGTAAAATGTGCCTTATGTTGCTGAAGTGAAAATTAGGAACCAGCAAGGCTGGGAGGTAGGTGTACTCTCTCTCAGACTTTTTGTTTGTGTGTTTTGATTCAGTTCTGAGGCTCTCATGGGGCTGACCCTATCATTAGGCAGAGTGAGGTGTTTACTTCAGAACAAGGGCAACAAATTGTTAGCCTATTCTAATTTTGTTGTTGTTGTATTTTGACTGTCGGGAAGAGGCACTTGTGAGATTTTTCTGCCTCAAGTGCCAACATAACTTTCCCTACTATGGTCCTTTGACCTTAATGTGGGGTTGGGGTGAGGCACCATTTGGCGTTCTGCTTCAACTAGCAAAATGTCTTGGGCTGGCCCTCTCTGCGGCTATTTCAGATACTGGGCAACTAACGCAGCTTTTTGCAGGAAGACTGAATGCATGAGAAGAGAAGAGAAGGGGATTAGTCTGTAAAATAAAATAGTTGCGGTGCCTGGGGGGGGCGGGAATGGCAAACTGATGTAAAACTCAGCTTTTCAGCTTTTCAGGAATTTGCACAGGATAGATTATTTTCTCTTCCTAGAATATGAAATCCAATGAACCCTTAAGTCCTAAGTCATTCCCCCACACTTCCATATGCACACTTTACACTGTCTTTCCCCCTATCCATGTAGGTCAAAATGACAGCTGGTGCAGTTTGGGGGTTAACAGAATGAAAGCTGAATGACAACTGTAAACAAGAGCTTCCCAGCTTGTGTCTACCATGGGTGTGCAAAGTGGGGGTCATTTTATAATTAAGGAGAAGCAGCGGGAGGGGGCAATTTACTATTGAAAGTTTATTTCCCTGGCCACTTTCTCCCAGTTGTAGGTTAATAAGGGGGAAAAGGGAAGACGGCAGCCGGGAAAGGATGAAACAGCCCCTGCCCCCCATCTCCTGCTTCTTCCCTCCAAATGCACCCCAGCAAATCCTTGGCAATTGGTGGCATCCATTTAGTTGGGTTTCTGGTGTTTGCTGCTGAAAAGCAGTTCTCTTCTGGGTGCAGTTTGGGGTGCCATAAATAGGAATATGGTTATGAGCCTTGGCTGTATCTCTTCTTTTCTTTTGATTCCAGAGAGACAGCAGAAGTCTATTTTTTTTTATCTGGGAGCAATGATTAATTGGATGTGGATTAACAAGCTGAGGTTTAATCGTGTAAAGACAGAGAGGTGCAATAGGAGAACTAATCCAGGATTAGCTGCGCAGCCTGTTCTGGATGGGGGGTTGCTTACTTTAAAATAAATGGGGCTTCTTGAAAGATCAGCGGCTTAAGGGTCTCCTGGATTCTGCCTTGGTCCTGGGGGTCAGGTGGCAACTATAACTAGGACTGTGTCCATACGCCCATCCGGTCCAGTGTGATCCCAGCACTACTTTGGGAAGATGTGCACCCACAATGTTAGCAGCAACCCATATCCTGTATCATATGAAATACTGCATTTTGATGTGTTTTCCTCCAAACCAGCTTTGATCCAAAGAAGAACCACCACCCATTATTATTATTATTATTAATGAATTTCAACCATTTTAATTTTACCTTTATTAATTCCCCACATCATTACTCCATACTGAATAATACTAAATTATTCTATCCATGTCCATAGTCCCTCCGCTAAGATCACACATTGGACCAGTATTCTATTTTTGTTTCTCATTATATATCTGCTTGTTCATATCCAGATCCATATGTTCAGCTCCATGTCCTGTTGTGTTTACGATGGTATCCCAATCTCCACCTCTTAGACATTCCATTTTTATTTTTCCCAGTCTTTTTAATAGCAACATTCTCTTAATTCACTCCAGATTGTATGCAAAGTACTTTCTCTCTTCTAAAACTAAAAAAAGGCCAGGAATGAAGACTGAAAGCTTTTTTTCTGCTCTTCACTTCATCAACACTATATCCAGATAGTTATCCAAATCATTTGTGACTTTATCTTCTACTTCTCCTCTAAATCCTTGTATGGAGGTCATCTCCATTTCCCTTTCCACATGACCACCAGGTTCCTTCCATTTGATCATTTCTTGATCTAGTCCTGCCAACTTTTCATCAGTTTGGTCTGGGGCCTCTGTGTATTCCCCATTTCAATTTTCTGCCTCATATTCCTCTGACTCCTTTTTTCCATTATCATCTGGTTCATTTTCTTCATTTTCATCAAACATTGATCAGATCATTTTTAATTGTTCAGCCATCAATTGCTGAACAATACCAACAGTCACTGATTGATCCAAAGGTACCTTCACCATATTAGATGCTTTTAATGTTCTTGTTATTATTAGCCACTCAATCCACCTTAATATAGCCTGCTTAAAAACTATAGTCTTGGGCTTCTGCAGCTGTGACTGTTATCTAGAAACAAATTCTTTTTCTCATGAGAGACATTTTCTTGAGTTCTTTAGTGGAAGTGGTAGCTCAGTCTCATAGCCACAATACTATATCACATTAGCGACACCAACAGAGTTTGTATGGTAATTTGCTTTTTATAGAGCTGGTAGTACCTGAAAAAGATGGAGTCCTCAGTAGCAACAGGAGAAGAACAATTTGGCACATCTGTTTCTGAGTATGATGCTGTCACAGAGGGAAAGAATCCTTGCATCTCTCCCTCACACCTGCAACCCAAGCAGAAAACCAGCTGGGAAGAGAACGCCGAGCTACTGGGAGAGAGCACCTCTCCTTGCAAGCTTGTGCCTTTGTCCAGTGTGAATGAGAGAATTGCATTGCAGCAGCAGCAGCAAAAAGGTAAGGCCTGTTAACGTCCTCCAGTTGTTTCACCTCTCCTCAACCCTCAAACATATAATAATAACAATAATAATAATAAAATTAATTTTTCCCCCAGTAGCACCTTAGAGACCAACTAAGTTTGTTATTGGTATGAGCTTTTGTGTGCATGCACACTTCTTCAGATAACCTGAAGAAGAATAGTTCAATCTGCTTCAATACTCATATGTTGCCAGTGAAACTATGTCAATTATGGTAGCATTGCAGTCTAAAAGGGAAAATCACAGGGGTAACGTTGTATTATTTATTTGGTTTTGTTCTTAGAAAAAGGAGTGTCTCAATTGAAGTTCTGTTAAGTAAGGGGATAATTTGCATTCATGAATGCATTCAGCTTGCATTCAACTGGCTGTGGTTCAGGAGATTACGCTGCATGCTTCATTACTTAAATTCCCAGTGTTTCTGCTCATAATATTATTCAACACATTTTTAACAATGGAATATTTCTGCAATACATGATGAAAATATCTTTTTGACATTTCTGATGTTTTAGATAGGTACAATTACTTGGAAGTAAGTTCCATAGTAAGGGACGCGGGTGGCGCTGTGGGTAAAACCTCAGTGCCTAGGGCTTGCCGATCGCATGGTCGGCGGTTCGAATCCCCATGGCGGGGTGAGCTTCCGTCTTTCGGTCCTAGCTCCTGCCCACCTAGCAGTTCGAAAGCACTCCTAAGTGCAAGTAGATAAATAGGTACCGTTTTATAGCGGGAAGGTAAACGGCGTTTCCGTGTGCTGCGCTGGTGATGGCTCGCCAGAGCAGCTTCGTCACGCTGGCCACGTGACCCGGAAGTGTCTCCGGACAGCGCTGGCCCCCGGCCTCTTAAGTGAGATGGGCGCACAACCCTAGAGTCTGTCAAGACTGGCCCGTACGGGCAGGGGTACCTTTACCTTTTTAAGTTCCATAGCGGTACTTACTTTGAGTTAATATGCATAGAACTGTACTACTGTTGGTATTCTAATTTTTACCACATTTTTTATATTTAGTATATATAGTATAGTCTTTATTCCTTGTCTTTCATAATAAAAAAGTGAAATACTGCAAATATTCACATATCCTTTTGCAAAAGGAAGAGGCACCTGGAAGCCACTGCCAATCAAAGTAGACAGTTCTAAGCTAGATGAAGTAATCTGACTTCAGTATAAGGGCAGGTTAATCATATGTTCATATTCACAGTCTACCAAACACATATTTTCAGATTTACCCCTGAAGATAACCATGGCAAGATGTAAGACTGGGCTTCCTGACTCTCAGCTGCAGGGTTATCTGAGAGGACGACTTCGTCTTCTGGAAAACGATGACAAAAAAGCCAGGGCAGTTTTCTGTGTAAGTCATTTACAACCAGTTATTATCCACAATTGCCTTCAGTGCCACAAAATTAAGCTTCCAGGATCTATAATAAGCCATGGGAATTGTTTTTGCACAGCCTGCTATCCTTCGTGTAGAAAATATGGCTGGGCATCCCTGTCTCTGTTACCTGCAAAGCACAAAATGGTCACAACTTAAGGGGGCAATAATTTTAGCTCTGTAGCTGAAGTCAACCTTATTTCTTGATGCTTTATGATAAAGCAAAGCTGTCAACTTGGCTGCCAACGCTTAGAATGCTATAAAGCTGAAATAACAGCACCTTCTGTATTCTCAGGCCAGTTATAGTATTCACCTTTGAAAGCCCTAAATGGCCTGAGAGGAGGGATATTCACAGGACCACTTGCTGCTTTCAGGCGCCACAGATGGGAATCTCTTTGCTTCCCAGGAGGCGTTTCCACCCCCACCCCACTTTCCTCACAATTCAACCCAAGAAGGATTATTGCGATGTGCCGTCTGATCAGACGAGCGACAGGAAGGTTGTCTCTGGATGAAGATTAGCTCCACCCCACCCCCGCAGTCCTGCTCTCCCCCCCCCCCACTCTCAGCTGCTCCCCTGTCAGCTGAGCCACACAAGGGGAATTGCAGGGAAAGGAAAGTTTAAACCTTCCCTCCCCCTGCCATCATTCTGATGCATCCCCACCACCGCTGCTATTAAGTTTAATAGTAGCAAGGGACCCAATTATCATGGGGAAATGCAGGGGAAGGGATATTTAACCAGGCAAGAGGTCTGGGAGAGAAAGGGTGTCAAGTACCGCTAATCCTTCCCACTGCCATTTCTGGCTCAGTCCACTGCTGAAAGATTAGTCCAAGTCCAAGTCCAGCCTTCTTTGCCTCTGCTGGTTAAAACTTTCCTTCCTCTTCACTGCCCCTTGTGCTGCTCAGCTGAGTGGAGCATCCAGGTCAGGTTGGTGAGAAGGGACCTGGACAGCAGACAAAATTTAGGATTTATCTAGAGGGCCCCCACTTCTTTTTCCTGCAGATTGGCTGGGTATGTTGTGGCCCATGTAAGATCATAGATTGGCACTGTAGCAGCCCAGGGAGTGCAGATTGCACACTTCTGAACAAGAAATAGAAAATGGCATGTTTCTAGGAGACTCTGCATACTAACCAGACAATGTGCATATTACCCAGCAAATGTACCAAATGCAATTGACACATGCCCAAACCTCTTTGGAGATTCTAGATTCAGGTGGGTAGCCATGTTGGTCTGACGCAGTTGAAATAACAAAAAAATAAAATAAAAAATGGTCCAGTAGCACCTTAGTTTATAAGGTGCTACTGGACAATATTTTATTTATTTTTATTTTTATTCCCTTTGGAGATTATGCATCATATCTGGAGAATGTATAAAACTCAGTAAATATATGCTCATTTCCCAAGACCTGTTGGAAATTGCGTATATTGACTGGGAATATGGAATTCTCTCTTCACGAAAGGTTTGTTTGTTTCATACAATTTATATACCACTTGATTATAAAATATAAAATAAAAAAAATCTCAAAGCAATTTACAAAACAATACAATGATCAGTAAAAAAACCAGTTAAAATTATTTAAAATGTTCAAATTAATTAAAACAGCAATAAGCTAAAAATGGATTAAAACATATGTGAACATTCTGCATATCTGGTTAGTCTTTGTCTAAACAAAAATGTTTTTAGTAGGCACTGAGAAAAGTACAATGAAGGTGCTCGCCTGATGTCAGTAGGCAGGGCGTCTCAAATTGTGAGTGCTGGCACGCTAAAAGATTGATTTCTTTCGAACACTGAACAGTTATTATGTGGCACCTGTAGCAGTGCCAGTTCCGCTAATCAAAATGGTCTGGTGGCAGATATGGCATAAGGTGATCTCAAAGATAAACTCGCAGGATTATGTGCACATTCTCTGAAACCTGGTGACTCTGCACAATGGCCAGTTGTGTACATTGACCACTCAACTTACATTCCTATTAACATATGCAGGGCTTTTTTTCCCAGCTGGAACTCACCAGAACTGAGTTCTGGCACCTCTTTTTCTAGGAAAAAAGCCCTAGTTGCAAAATACATGTATGCTTTTTTGCTTTACTCGGTGCAGCTGGGTTGCTCTTTCTCACTCCAATCACTAATGTAGCTTCTGTAGGTCTGTTTCTCTTGGGGCAAACTTGTGGTTTAATTATTTCCACCATGGTTTTTTCTCTTTTAGCTCAAATATGATTTAACTGGTTCCTTCCATAGGACTCACATACAGTGGTGCCTCGCAAGACGAAAATAATCCGTTCCGCGAGTCTCTTCGTCTAGCGGTTTTTTCGTCTTGCGAAGCAACCCTATTAGCGGCTTAGCGGATTAGCGCTATTAGCGGTTTAGCGGCTTAGCGGCTATTAAAGGCGGCTATTAAAGGCGGCTATTAAAAGGGTATTAGCGGCTTAGCGGCTTAGAAAAAGGGGGGGGGAGCGAAAAAAATCGCAAGACTCGCAAGATGTTTTCGTCTTGCAAAGCAAGCCCATAGGGAAATTCGTCTTGCGAAGCAACTCAAAAACGGAAAACCCTTTCGTCTAGCGGGTTTTTCGTCTTGTGAGGCATTCGTCTTGCGGGGCACCACTGTATATGTATTGTCTTCATCTGTATTGGAACTGTTTTAAATATATATATATATTAAAAGTGTTGCAAAGAATTTGTATTGTTTCATCACTTGTTCGCTGCCCTGGGCTCCCTTGGGAGGAAGGACAGGATATAAATTTAATCAAAAGCAACAATCAGCAACACATGGGTGTTTTTGCCTTTCTTAGGAGTTGTCTGCCAGGCTGCTGTCCATTCACAGTGAAGACCAACTAATAGTGGTGACATTTTGGACCTTTGAAGAAATCTGGAAGTTTGTAACTTATTATTCCCTTGGTAAAGCACTTCTTCCTATAGGAAAGTTAAGATTTTTTGTGATTGTTGCTATTGTAAATATAAGTCCTCACAGTACCATTTCTTCATAGTAAGAAATATAAACCAGCTTTTTTCAATGCTTGCTATTTTTTCTGCTTTCTTTTTTGGAAACATGCTGTTGGATTTTTACAGGTACCAAAGGGCTTGAAAATGGAAGGGGTTTCAACATCTTTACTCATTACTCAAAGTGAAAACACTTGTAAGGATGAAATATTTATCAGCATAGCTTCCACTAGATAAAACTGAGAGCTGTAAACTCTCCATTTCTGTTTGGCTGAAGATGGGTGTCATAAACTAAAAGTACATAATTGAGCACTATGATGACGATGACAATCATAGAATGATATTTTATTTATTTTATTTTATTATACCCTGCCCTTCATCTGTAGATCTCAGGGTGGTTCACAGCATAAAATTACAAAATAAAAAGCACAAAGTATATAATAAAAGTAAGAACAAAAAACAAACTAGCAGTCCCCCATCCAACAACACGTTTAATAGGGCACCGAGTGTTAATAAGCCAAAGGCCTGATTGAAGAGGAACATTATTGCCTGGTGCCTAAAGGTGTATAATGAAGGTGCCAGGTGAACTTCACTGGGGAGAGCATTCCACAGACAGGGAGCCACTGCAGAGAAGGCCCTGTTCTCACGTTGCCACCCTCCGGACCTCTCATGGAGGAAGCACATGAAGGAGGGTCTCAGGTGATGATCTCAGGGTCCAGGTAGATTCATATGGAAAGAGGCAGTCCTTGAGGTATTGTGGTCCTGAGCCATTTTAAGCCTTTATAGGTCAGAACCAGCACTTTGAATTGGGCCCGAAAACTAATTGTCAGCTACTGTAGTCCAGCCAGGATCGGTGTAATGTGCCTGAACCATTTTGCCCCAGTAATCAATCTGGCTGCCAAATTCTGCACCAGCTGAAGTTTCTGAACCATCTTCAGAGGCAGCCCTACGTATAACATGCTGCGGTAATCTAACTTTGAGGTTACCAGAGCATAGAGCAAATAGTTTTTATTCTCCATGCTTGCTTTCAAGTCCTTTTTCTTTAGTTTTAAAAAGTTTGTTTCATCTCTGTTACGACAAATGAACTGAATTCAGAAATGCATAAAAAGTAGGTGACATGCACAGCCCTAGTTTGCCCTAGTTTTCAAAATTAGCCCCCTAAAGGGTTCATATCATTGAGGGTGGGCAGAATTAGTAGTTTATGGATGAAAGGGGTTCAAATAACCTTTGCTGTCTTTGCTTCCAAAAGGTTATAGCAGACACAAACACTATGCAGATTAGAAAAAAACATTATCAATCTTATTCCCAGCGAAAACATGCCCTGGCCAGGATATTTTATTTCTAGGCCACCTTTTAAGGCAAAGATCTCGCAAGACAGTTCACATAAAACTGTTACAAAATGATAAGATGCATTTCAATTAAAAAAACAGCAATCTAAAACAGTGATCTTGGAACTACTCACAGGTCAGCTACACCTTGTTACCTGCCCTTGTTTCTGCTATTACCGGCTTTATGAAAAAGGGACTTTTAAAAAAAACCCCACTTACACTGAAAAATTTCTTCGGCAGGTTTTTTAAATCATTGTATGGAGAATCTGTTGCTAGATGATTATTTCTGGCTCTCTTCATCAGAGGAATCAGTTGGAATTGATGTTAGTCTTGATGAGGAATGTCTTGGTATGATATACAGAGGCCTATTAATTCAAGAAGGTACTGAGTTTGTATTAGTAATTGTCCGGAAATACTAAATATTCATGGAGTTAAATTACATGATGATCTTTGGGAACAAATGGTGACTATTCCGTATTACAAAATGCCGCGGTGTGGGGGCCCCTCTCAGCAGAAGGAGGAGCTTCCAGCCAGGGGTCCAACTCTTCGGGGCAAGGGGGTTAGTGGGAAAAGGGGGAAAACATTTCCCTGGCTGGTTTTCCTGAAACCCCTTTTTGCCCAGGACTTGATAGTTGGGTGGGAGAGCTAAAAATAATGCCAATGTATTTCACATCCAGCAACCAGTGCACCCCATTGGTTTCAGATAGTACATGAGTAGTGGAAGACAGGAGTGCCTGGCGTGCTCTGCTCCATGGGGTCACGAAGAGTCGGACACGACTAACAACAACAGATGAGTCTAAAGAGCCTGGGATACAAATTTTCACGGCCCTCTAGTGCAGTGTTTCCCAACCGGTGTTCCGCGGCACACTAGTGTGCCGCGGAACGTTGCCTTGTGTTCCGTGGGAGGGAGGCGGGCGAGTCGGGCGGCGAGAGGCGCGGCGGCGGCGGCGAGCACACGCGGGGCGGCGAGCGAGCTCCCTCCCACATCCCATCGCCGCTCGCTTCGGCCGGCCTACTGGAGGAAGGCGTGAAAACCTCGCGCATGCGCAGGCCTTCCGCCTGCGACAGCCCAGTAGGCCGGCCGAAGCGAGCGGCGATGGGATGTGGGAGGGAGCTCGCTCGCCGCCCCGCGTGTGCTCGCCGCCCGACTCGCCCGCCTCCCTCCCACGGCACACCAGCCTACCTCCGTGGGAGGGAGGCGGGTGAGTCGGGCGGCGAGAGGCGGGGCGGCGGCGGCGAGGAGAGGCCGCCCAGCGCGGGGCTCTCACCGTCTGCCTGCCTGGCTGCCTGCGAGCTCGGCGGGCAGCGCTTCCGCCCGCAGCGCCCGCCTCGCGGCTCTCATTCCCTGCCCCTGCCAAAGCTCACCCAGCCAAGCCGCGCTCTCCTTCCTGCCTCGCTTTGCTGCCTCCTCCCCCCCACCCCCAAAGCTTGGAGGTTCCCCGGCAGGAAGGAGGGAACTTAATCCTCTCCAAGGGCTGCGGAAAACAGACATGCAAATGGGGGCTTGCCAGCTCTTCAAGCGCCGCCGGCTTTCTTCGGGAATTACCGCCCGCCGAGCCCGGTAACGCTGACAGGCCGAGCCGCGGGGCTTGGCAGCGCAGCCGGCAGAGTGTGGGAAAGGGCGGCCGCCACGCGCTGGGCAAGGCGAGACTCGACGGGGAGGACACCGGCAGCAGCGCCCCCCCCCCCAGAAACCCGCTCCGGGCAGGTAATTCACAGAGAGTGGACAGAAGGAAGCCTTAAAGGGCTTCAGCCTCCCAGGGTGGCGGGGAATAATAATAATAATAATGATAATAATAAAATTGACAGGGGGTGTTTTTCTAGGTGAGGGGGTGGGGACTGTAATAACAAAAAAATCAGCTCTATATCAACCGCTGTTTTGCAATGAGGAATTGCAAATAAGGAAGATCAAAAGGAGAATGTTTTTTTTGGGGGGACTCTCTTCCTCTTCCTCCTCCTCCTCTCGTTCTTGCTCCTCTTCCTGGCAAAAGGGCTGCTGAGACCCCTTCTCTCTTGGGTGCCGGTGGGTGCTGTGACGTTGACGCTGCTGTGGCAAGTGCCTTTACTTAGCAGAGTGCATTCCCCTTTACACAGGAGGGGAGGGAAAAAAATTGAAACTTACACTTTCGTGGGGCCCCCCCGGCGCGACGCTGCGCGCTGACGTCACGGGGCTGTAATGGTGGTGTGCCTCGAGATTTTTTTCATCAAACAAGTGTGCCTTTGCCCAAAAAAGGTTGGGAAACACTGCTCTAGTGGCTATGGTGGCTCATTTACCCAGAAGTAATGTATTTACGCAGGTGGCGCTGTGGGTTAAACCACAGAGCCTAGGACTTGCCGATCAGAAGGTTGGCGGTTTGAATCCCCGTGACGGGGTGAGCTCCCATTGCTCAGTCCCTGCTCCTGCCAACCTAGCAGTTCGAAAGCACCTCAAAGTGCAAGTAGATAAATAGGTCCCGCTCCGGCGGGAAGGTAAACAGCGTTTCCGTGCACTGCTCTGGTTCGCCAGAAGCGGCTTAATCATGCTGGCCACATGACCTAGAAGCTGTATGCCGGCTCCCTCGGCCAATAAAGTGAGATGAGCGCCACAACCCCAGAGTCGGTCACGACTGGACCTAATGGTCAGGGGTACCTTTACCTTTACCTAGAGCACAATATACATCAGGATCACACACACACCCCCACACACACCAAATAAACCAACAACCCATAGAACCACAGAATCATAGAATTTTAGAGTTGGAAGGGGTCCACCAAAGGTCATCTAGTCCAACCCCCTTCAAATACGACCATAAAACCTTCATCACCACCCCTTATTTGATTTAACAGCATCAAACATAAAAGAAAAGACAATGGTCAGAGTGTACTTCATGTTTCAGAGAGAGACAGGGTCTGGGTTGGCTCATTTGGGGTTCATTTTATGTGGCTCATGTTAAAATGACTGCAAAAATACTTGATATGTTTTCAAATACAGCTTTTTTCTTAAGGTACCTTCTTTGTATATCATAATGAAAACGTAAGTGAGAGAAGAGCTGCAGACGCTGGAGTCGGAATTCACCAGCTGAATTGGTCCGCTACTGAGAAAGCTCCTGAAGAAAGGGGGGGAAACCTCGCTAAGGGCTTGCCAGAGCCCCTGATCCCGTTCCATCAGTAGGTCTCTGAACTTAACTTTCAGTTCCACCTGTGTGTGCACGTGTACTTGCAAATATACACCAAATGGCTGTTCTGTAATAAAAGTACATGCGCATTTCTTCATAATTTCCCCCCAGTTTTACAGCAGATGGAGAAGGATTAATATTTAAATGTTTTGATGTCTAGTGAAAGTGACAGCATTTTCTATGCATGGCAAGAATTGTTATCTCCTTGAACATATGCCATATCCAACCTGCACACAAAATATAGCCATTTGTCTAAAAAAAGAAAAAGAAAAAGATTGGCCAGCTTAACATACAAAACAAACATATGAAAAGAGTGTGCAATGGCAGAGGTGTTCAGAAGACACAGATGCCCTGGATTTGTTCAATGAATGTTTGAGGGCAGCAGTAGGATCACGTGGGCCCTTCCACGTTGACACATGACTCTTGGCCATGCATGCAGCACCAGCATGAAGAGGGCAGAATTCCACCTTCCATGTGTGGTCACTCACTGCAGACAAGCATGGCTTGCAGGCATGTTCCAAATGCCATCTCAAGAATTCACTGAATGCAACAGGGAATAGTTTTGCATAGCCCTGATGTTGCTTTGCTTTTTTAATTGATGGCTTCCGATGATGAAATGAGCGGTCTTGAAAGCTCTGCCATTTTCCATTTGGAATAAACATTGCTATACTGTATAGAATAGTACGTAGGGCTTTAGGTTATCAGCTTTATATGCTAAAAACTAAGTGTAACATTTCACAGTGAATATTTTAACATAGCTCTCTTGCAAATCTAAATTTAGCAACAGCAGTTAGATAATATATATAAGCAGCCACAATCCAGCAGAGTTAAGTGTGCCTTGAACTGTGGTGTTTTGCATCACCAGGAAACTGTATTAATATGCTCCATCATTTCTCTACATTTCTGCCTTTGGTACAGTTTCCCTTTCTTATAACCAAATGAGCATTGAAATTGACCTGATGTTAAAATTGCTATTACTGTTATGGCAGGCCAAGCTAATTTCCTTGAACCTTTCCCATGCTAGATGGTTTCTGAAAGAAAACACAGACTCTGCTGATTTTGCTGTAAGAAATGAATCTGCAGCCACAGATCAAATAGGTAAGTAACTGCTATTAAGACAGAAGTTGTAATAGTTCTGATGAGTTGTGACAAGAACGGAAATGAGAAAACTCCATTTTGTGCCTTGCAGTTCGAAAGCACATCAAAGTGCAAGTAGATAAATAGGTCCCGCTCTGGCGGGAAGGTAAACAGCATTTCCGTGCCCTGATTTGGTTCGCCAGAAGCGGCTTAGTCCTGCTGGCCACATGACCCAGAAGCTGTACGCTGGCTCCCTCGGCCAATAAAGTGAGATGAGCGCCGCAACCCCAGAGTCGGTCACGACTGGACCTAATGGTCAGGGGTCCCTTTACCTTTATGAGGTAGGCAAAAACCCCACAGAACCCTAACCAATCCGTCTGCTGGTAAAAAAATTTCTTTCAGGCCTTGAGAATCAGCAACCAGCTATGTCCATAGCAATGCTGGAGGTGGGATTCCCCTGTAAAAGGAGACTATACTACAGAAGAAAGCGGTGGGTGGGGAGAGCAGGCGTGGGCCTCCTTTTCCGCCCTGGGAGCAGACTGACCAAGGGAGTCTCAATCAGCTCCACTCCCAGGCGCTGCCCAGAGAAGCCAGAGCCCTGTCTCTGATTGGTTCCCTGGTTTAGGAAGCCCCTTCCCCACAGCCAGGCAAACCATATGGGGAAAGACTGTGGTCCCTCCTAGCACTGTGTGCTGCTGCAAACTGGGCTCGCTGGTAAGCTTGGAATTTATATTGACAAAAATGGAGTGGCAGACAAAATTATCTGAGTATGCTGAGATGGCAAGATTGACAGGGAAAGTTAGGAATCAAGAAGATCAACAATTTAACAGAGAATGGGATAAATACAGATGATATTTAAAAGATCACTGTAAACATGTAAAATATTTGGCAGGCTTTGAATGACTCCTGCAATAAGATATAATTCTTGGACGTATTGGATAACTGCAAAATAGATGCTGTTTAATATGCAGTTGATATAGAAATGTAGAGAGCCCAGGTTGGGAAGGAGGGAAGTCTCAATACAGGAATAAATTTACCTTATTCCCAACGTTTTTTTAACTTCTTTTATTTACACTACTGATGGAGAGTTACAACTGTGATTCATTGCATAAAATCAATAAAGATTAAATAAAAAATAAAAAGTTGGGAATTTGACCTTGTGGCAATGCCTATGCTTTGAAACCAGTTTGCCCAGGACAACCAGCCATGTTGCATCATTGTTTATCATAGGAGGCCCCCAGGATTTGCCTTTGCCCCACTGCTTTCCCCCAGGAAATCCACTCTTTAGCAATAAACCAGAACAAATGGCAATCACAGAAAACCCAGTTGTGTTTGTTCCGATTCAGCAGTAAACTGCAGGTTTTCCCGGGGAAAGTATCATGGCAAGTGGAAGTGAGAATAAGCCCTATGTCAACGCTGCAAAGCTGGCTTGGGTGTTTTATACTTTGTGTTGGTGTATTGCATATTTATATAGTTTTGTTGTCTGTCTGTCATCTATCATTGCTTGGTTCTCCCCCTTCCACTTCTTCTCATAGCAACCCTCAGGTTTTGAGGTACTTCCAAGTCACACAGTGAGCTTCAAGGCTGAACTGGCCCTAACCAGTCCTAGGCCATGTTCAGATAGGGACATGATCTCACAAATGGGTCATTCAGATCCAATATTATTGGGGTCTGATTGATACATGAGGGTCCACACGCTCCCATTTTTCACTCTCGAAATTGTTATTCCCCTGCTTGCTATCCACATCACTGGAGAAAATATCCTCTGTCTTTTGTTTTATTTATGTTCTGTCCCTCCCCGTCCCTCACTCTCCTCAGGAAAACCTGTTCTTTAATGCTGAATCAGAACAAATGACAATTTGGGTTTTCTGCAGTCTGCCATTTGACATTTTCTGGAGGTTGCCATTTGGGTTTTTGCGGGGAAAGCACGGGGGGCGGGGGCACGAGTGCTCAGACAAGGAGCTTTAAAGCGAGAAACATGGCATGAAAGGAAGTCTGGACGAGCTCTAAGTTTCTAGCATTAAACCGCAGCTTGCTTGGCTTTTAAAAAATATATTTGCACAATTCTGATTTAAGAGAATTCTGCAGGATTTGTAAGAATTAAAACAATTTGAGGCTTCTTAGTTCTCTGAATAGGGTGTGTGCATGTACCAAATGTCCTGTAAAACCAGACAATTCCTCTCTCCCAGCCATCTCCAAACAACACCTAACTTAGAACAGCTCAGGAACATTGTGCTGCTGAGAATGGGGAGGGGAATCAAATCACTTAGATCATATAGGAAGATGAGCAGGTGAATGAATCCTGGGTGTGTTAGCTGACATTTTGGGGTCTTTTAATAGTGTTGCCTAAGTAGATACGGGAACAAAGTTGACTTCTGGGTTTGTTGGAGGGTCTGGTCTCTGTGTTTTTATCTCTGATATATGGCCTGTTGTTGCTGGTGTGAGTAACTACTTTAGTCCACATTGGGGCAGGGGGATCCCTACTTATCATTACTGTGAGTCCCTTCTCACCACCTGCAAATGCTACTGTTTGCTGTAACTGAGAATGGCTGTGCTGATACTAGAGTGGCTGGGGAAACCCAGCCAGGTGGGCAGGGTATAAATAAATTATTATTATTATTAGTCACCTGTAGCATCCAATTATGGCATGCAGCAAGTCCCACTCAACCCAACTAAATCACCTCTTGCCTCTTTGTTACATCAAAATCTATTTACTCTTATTTCTCATATGACTTGTAATACTAAAAGTAATGATGTTGACAACATATTGCCTTGATACCTTATTTTAAATAAGTTACTGTATTTCCCAATTCTTTGTTATTCAGCCACAGGATTTTCTGTAGCAATTGTTAGCCACGAAAGTGCTGTGCCTGAGGAAATTGGCTTCCAGAAAGGAGACAGAATTGAAATTATTGGCTACTTTATGAAATGCATGAAGTGGTTTGTGGGAAGACATGCCCCTACTGGCCAAGTTGGTTTTGTGCAGAGTAGCCATGTCAAACCTGATGACTTCGAGACGACTGCAGCAGAGTAAGTACTATGGATGACCATAAAGTTACTCTATCCACCAACAAATTCCACTTTTAGGAATGTTTCTACTGCTGTGCATCGGAGGTCATGAATGCACATCTTTTACTCCAAATTTGGGCATTAGAACATAGAACTCAAAAGCTTTCTAGCTAACTATATTGCAGTAGACACAGGGATATTCTGTTCTCCAGTTATACTTACTGCTCTCAAAGGCTAGAAGTGACTTCCATTCATGGGTGTAGCCAGGATTTATGTTAGTGGGGAGCAGGCTTCATGTTGAGGGGGGGGCAAAACCTCAGTTAGTTAAGTATTTTTATTGATTTGCTTGATTTGGGGGGAGCAGCTGCCCCTCTGCCCCCCCCCCGGCTATGCCCACTAGGTATGTTTACTTGAGGAAAACTAGATAGAATTTTGGAATAATAGCTATTTCCAAGTGGCAGTTGAGACTGGAAGCCTTCAAGCACAGAACTGACAGGTTAGCTCAAAGCAGTGCGGTATGCGAGATGCAGGATCATTATCCCTGGGTTTGGCTTTGGTTTTGGTGCTCTTGTTGCATGCTTAGGGCTTCCACAGCCGAAATAGCATCTTCAAGACCCAGCACAACACTCTGCCCCATTCACTTTCTTCCTTTCTGACAGCCTCTACTTTCTGAAGGCCAAATGTATAAGTTTTTCCCCCTTGTTTGACTGCTCCTCTTGTTCATAGCCAAGGACAGATTAAGGTAGTTGAAGGCTCAGGCACCCTTCCCAAAATAGCCTCCCCCAGGAACACATGAAACAAGCAACCACAAAATAAGTATTGTAGTATCTTTCACAGTTTCACAAGTCCCAGCAAATCCTCCCCCATTTATTTTTATTTTTTACCAACCTTGACATGCAAAAATAAGACACTCTGAGCATGTGCAATTTCACATTTTAAACACCCTAAATTCATCATTGTGTTTGCTCACTTCCTGCCTTTCGGTTTGGGGGCTGCTCAGGGGCTGCTTAAACGACCCCCGTGGGCCTTAGGTTGCCTACCTCTGTCCTAACTCCTCTGTGTCGTGTGCTTCCTTCAGACCACCATGCCTGACTTTCTTTGAAGAGGAGCATTCTATTTCTGCAGAAGAAAATGCCCTTTTGGAAGAAAATGTGGTGAATCTCTTGGGACAAACATCACATTATAACATTTGCAATTTATATCAATTAGGTAAGCAACTCCAGTGTTGTGTTCTTATCTGCATGTCCACACCTTTCATTTTGTGCTGTGGAATATCCAATAAAATGCCAATGTGGAATATCCAGTAATATTGTTTAAGTCTCACTGAGCTCAGAACAACTTAACTGTATCAACTTTCAGATTCAATAACTTGAGTTATTCTGGAGAAAGCTAAAGTCTATTACAGTTAACCCCAAAAAATTATTTTTCGCAAAACATCCAAGTATAAAGACAAAAACCATCCATATGCCAATTAATATACAATAAGGATAAAATCCTCATTAAATATAAAAACTGCTGTCTCCTGGCTTTGACCTTTCAGCCTTCCTAGTGGCTTCTTTTTGCAAAAATAACACGTCAAACAACATGAATTCAATGATTTCATTTTCATTACAGCAGCTGTTAAGACTTGACATCATGAGCAAGTTGTTCAGAATTCATATTCTTCCTTGCTCCTGTTCCTTCAGCTCACCACAAATGAATTACAATTTCTACTGGCTTCATTCTGTGAAGTTTCAGATTCTTATTTACAAAATATATGCAATAGGGCTATTGTGATCCAGGGTTGTACTTAATACACCAGAAAATGACCAGGTGGATTTAATGAAAAGAACTGTATTCACATTGCATATTTTGTGTAGTTCCATCCTCTGCAATAACTACAGCGATGGAGTGGCTTAAATGTTTTTCCTTCTATTATCAGATGGCCAGGAAGATTTTGAATTGGAGAAATCTACCGAGCGAGGTAAAAGGGCAAAGCAGAGGGAATATCAATATGTGCATCTCCCCGCACCCCGACCTTTTCAAAGTGCAAACAGCTGCATTGGACTGTGGGAAAGGCCCTGCAGGAAGCAGTTCAAGCCTTTCCTGGTGCCCTGACTGGAATCCTGTCCGCTCTTTCCTCTGTCTTCCCTACTTTGGTCCAATTTTTTTCTTGTAGTTCTTGATATTTCTTCTTGTGCAATGAGATAAATGTATATCAACAATGTAATGCAGTTTACTTTTTCCTCTGAAAAGCAGATTTTGCTGTTCGTTGAGCAGGTGCTGGCTGCTTTGGACCAGACCTGATCTTATTATTTCTGTTGCTATTTTCAGGTGGGATTCAGTTCCATACGGGCAAATTCCAGGTTGTGCCATTGCAGTTGATTGCAATGTCTTACACAACAAGCCACTTTCCCAAAATATCAGACTTCTTGCAAAAAAGAAAGTGACAGAGAAATGCAATGTGACGTTTGAGATAGCACTTGCTTGTATGCAACACCCTCTAGTCTCCCCACAAACAAATCAGAATGAATGCTCATTAAAGAGCAAACATTGTCTAATCTCTCTGCAGACAAATCAGGATAAATGTCCCATAAGCAGGTCTTCTGCTGTAAGTGCTCTGAGAATGTTATTGGATGTTGCTTGTGATCTATATATATGAGAAGTACCTCAGGCCCACATGTACCCTTGCTCTGCTTTGCCTATGGAAGCCCCTCTCTCTCATACATGGTTCATAAACTGACTTCTGACCTGGTAATTAGACCTGGGCATTTATCACAATGAATTCTTATGACTTATGTTTCCCTTACTTCCTGCGATTCTCTGTCTTTTGTATTTCAGAGATGTCACATTCCTTCCTTAACAAGCATTCTGGCACAATGAAAGACAATATGGTGCATTCCCTGATGAAAGTGAGAAGCTTACAGTTGCACAGGGAAGAGGTCAAGGATCAGAAAAGGCCATTCTCTGCTTCAGATGAGGAGATGGCTTCTAAATCCCAGGATCCACACTTCTGCATATGCCCAGATGATGGAGTTTGTGGGCCAGAAATCCTTGATTCCTTACTGTTGTTTCTGAACTGCAAAGGATATGAGAGCAGTTTCAAAAGCATATATGACCTCTCATTTTCCTTTCTTAGCACCCTATTCCATGGCTATGCCAGCGAGGAAGATCTGGTTGATTATTTTGTACTGGCAAGGGAAGCAGCCAAACGGGCAAGTCTGCCAAGGGCTTTGGCGCGACTCTGCTATCTCCTGGGGAGAATGAGTGTCCGGAAGTTCAAGCTTTCTCAAGCTCGGGTTTATTTTGAAGAAGCTTTGGCAACAACACAGGGAGATTTTAGTGACCTCTTCCTTATAGCTTCTCTTTATACAAATCTAACTGGTATCTACCTGAAACAAAAGAACAAGGAAAAGTGTGCTTGCTTTTTTGAAAAGGTGGCTTCTTTGCTTATGGGAATTCCCAACTATATCAGCAGCAACAGAATGGAATCAGATATTCTGAAGTATGCTTTAAAAAGGGCAGTGCTGAGTCAAAGCAAGTATGCAGAAGCTAGAGCATGCTTCCTGCTAGCAAAGCACTATCTGAACTTTTGCCAGGGCGAAGAAGCCCTGCCATTCCTAGAAAGGCTGCAGCTTCTGAGTAATGCCTTGGGTTTACAAAATGGCTCATTGTCAGTTGATTGCTATTTTAAGCTAGGTCCGCTCTACAGTGAGAAGTGTTTGCCCCACCTTGTGCTAAGCTGTGTTAAGGTCGCCTCTTCTTGCAGCTCATGTACTTTGTTGGAGTTATTCAGAAGCATTGACTTAGTATTTAAAAATGCTCCCAAAGTCCATTGTTTGAAAACTGTGGGACAAAGTCATCCCTCCCAGACTGCATATTATCTCAGACAAGTACTCCATTTGCTAGAGACCAGCAAAGAACACCCAAAGTTGTGCAGCATGGTTTGTTGCTATCTCTCTCTACTATATAGCCACCACAAGCAGTACGGAAAAGCAATTGACTACATGGAGAAGGCACTAGATACAAATGCACATTCAAGCAGTGAAGAACTTATTGGTCATTTAGTCTTCCTCAGTTGGCTGTATATTCTCCACCAACAAAACACGGTGGCTCTGGACATTTTAAATGCTGTAGTAGAGAATACACAGAGCAGTCATCAGCAGTTAGGTATTGTTTATAACATGATTGCCATTGTTTTAAAGAGAATGAATGATACAAAGCAGGCAGCTGAAAGCTACTATAAAGCCCTGAGCATTTCAAGAGAGATGGGAATAGTACATAATCAGGCTGTGGCTTTGGCCAACCTTGGGATTCTTTGTCTGCATTCAGCTGCCAGAAGTCTTGGAGAGCATTTCTTAATTAAAGCAGTAACACTGTTTTCTGAACTGCCAAGTGTTGAGTGTGGCAGAGATTTTATATACATCCTTCTCAGGCTGGGATGCTACTATGCCAGTGGATTTTATAAAGATAAAGGGAGATGTTGTTTTGAATGGGCATTTTTGGTAGCAATGGAAGCAAACCATTTGGAAGGTACGTATATTATCTTGCTTTCAAAACTGGGGTAACTTGTATTTCAGGGCCACCGTTGCAGATGCTAAGATGAGAAGCTATCGCTGCACAGGGAAATATGAGAAAAGTTGGTTCCCTTATTTCCTTTGTAAACTCATTTGCTACTTTTGAATTAGCTTGTTCATTCTTTGTCATAAGTATCAATGGACTTCCCTGTGTCCCTTCCCTCATCCTACTAGAAAAAGCTTCTCAGGATAGAGATTGCTACCTCCAAATTCTTCATTTGTTATAATGAGCTGGAACCAGCAATGGATGTAAATACTAGGGTGAGGTGATAAAAACCGCCACTTTCTATCAAACCCCAAATTAGGGAAGGGGGAAGAACCTTCAGAAGCTGGGATTCCTAAGCCAACACCTGGTCCAATCAAGGTGCATTGTGACGTGGATCAGATCATGAGTCCTTTTCAGAATCTGCAGTCCTGTTGATCTCTTTACGACAGAGACGGCCAAACTTGGCCCTCCAGCTGTTTTGGGACTACAATTCCCATCATCCCTGACCACTGGTCCTGTTAGCTAGTGATGATGGGAGTTGTAGTCCCAAAACAGCTGGAGGGCCTAGTTTGGCCATCACTGCTTTACAAGGTATGTGAGGGCTGCAGCACTGCCTCCATCTGGTAAAAAAAATGCATTTCCTTTTTAACAATTTGGTTATCTAGCCACCCACAGCCTTGAGTGGGGCAGGTGTGTGTGTTTGTGTGTGTGTGTTTTGTTTGTTTGTTGCCATAAACACCATTTTTTTCTGTACAATTCCCTTTGGGAGTAACACAATGACAGCTTGCCCATGTATGTGTTGGCCACTTCAGCTGGATGATCAAGAGTCTTAGAATGAAAGTAATTATAGATCAGTGGATAAAAAATGCAGCATTTTTTTATTTGTCTAATTCATCAGTCTCAATAAGGCAGGGAGTTCTTTTGTATGAAGCATGAGTTCAGCCTATTAGAAATTACTCTGAGGAAGTCATGGGCAATCCAAGCCCTATCTCTATGCAGTGGCCTTACAAAAGCAGTGTGGTCCCTTGGAACCAGCATGTTCCATTAAATCATTTGTTCCCTTTTCTTTATAGGGCAGCTCCAGGCCGTTCAGCATCTGTGTCAGTTCTACAGTACAGTTCTTCCAGATGAAGCTCTGTGTGTCGTCTACAATGAGTATCAACTCTCCTTAGTTAGGAAACTATCTGACAAAGTCATGGAGGGACAGATATTGGAAACGATCAGTCAGCTGTATCTATCTTTAGGCACAGAAAGGTAAGAAGAGGCAGTTGGGGAAGCTGATTTGTCTCAAACTGAAAGCTTTTTAGTTACATTGCTAGTTTTATGTCAATGAGCCAGACCCAAAGGTGCCCTTCTGCATGCAAAAGCCACCTTCCACTCGTGGGAAAGCTGCTTTGCACCTCGTGCTAGAGCTTTATGCAAGAAAACTGAAACTAATGCAAAGAGCTTCTGTTTGGCCTAGAACAGCCTTCACCAGCCTGGCACTGTCCAGAGCTTTTGGACTACAACAGTGTTTGGACTACAATTAGCAGGGGCTAAAAGGAGTTGCAATTCCAAACCTCTGGAGGTCAGCACGTGGATCTGCCCTAGAGCTTGTGCAGCCTCTTTCTCAAGTGGATATGTAACAGCTGCAACAGACTATCTGTTAGCCCTGTAAAGCTGTTGCACAGAGTGCTTGGATGTTTTATTCTTTGTCTCTTAGTTTTTTGTAGCTTACCCATTTTATTTCATATTATTTTGATGCTCTTAGCTGCAGCAGCACTGAGGTGCAGAGAGGCAGCAACTAAAGATGCCGGTGCAGCCCTGCCACTGGGCCACAATTGGAAAAGAACTTCAGTGCCCTGTTAAGTCAGACTCAAAGGAGAGGCAAGCGCTACAGGGGCCTGAATCTAGCTTGGATAGAAACTGGAGTCAGAAAACAATTGCTGACTCCCAGTATGCCAGGCGTTGCTGAACTACAGCTTCCATGACTTGTGTAGCAAGCGCCATTTCTTTCTGTTATTCTGTTTTGGGAAATGGTATGCCATTGATAAGAAGCAAATCCTGTTTCTCATGCCAGAAAATGGAATAATCAGGGTAGGGAGCATGTTTAGGTCTGCAGTCTGTCTCTTAAATAAGTGAATGGCTGCCACGTGGGGGACCACATGCACTCAGACACAACATTGCCACAAGGACAAGCCCCATTCATCACTGCTCCTGGTGGATGGCTTGACCACTACGGACAGGAAGTCATAAGGGAAACTTGCGCAATTGCTTAGCCTTCCCTCCATGCACACAGCCATCCTCAGGGCTGGCCCAGGATGTTTTGGAGGAGAAAATGGCACGCGCACACACACACACACACACACACACACAGCCGCCACTGTCCTAGTCTAATGACTGATAAATAGTCACCTGATATTTCATTTTAAGCTTCAAGTAAATTATTAGTTGAAAGGTGTTTTTGTTTTATTTGCACCATGAACCGACAGTATTAAAGCAACCAATGGATATATTATGATGGTCCACGGTGACTTTGGCAATAATAGTATGTGGTAGCTGGAAGAAGCTTCCTTGAAAACAAAGTGGCAAACCGTGTTAGTGGGGGCAGGTGTTTCCTTTCCTTACTCTGAGTGATTTCTTTTAGGGCGTACAGATCTGCCCTGGAGTACACTAAAAGAAGCCTTGGGATATTCATTGATCTTCAAGCAAAAGAGAGAGAGGCACAGGCTTGGCTTCAGGCAGGAAAGATATATTACAAATTGAGGCAGAACGAGCTTGTAGATCTTTATATCCAGGTAAGATGAATGATGCCTTGGGAATTGAAGCTGTGATGGGATGCAAGGAGGATGCAAGGATAGCTGGGTCAAGAAGAGATTGCATAGGTTAAAAATACACTTTAATGTCATCTTTGTCTTCTGTTATTTTACCTCAGTGATAGAACAACTGTCTAACTCAATCTGGAGCATATAAATTAGGAACATGTTAATCTGATTAGAAAGCAAAGGGAGAGAACAAGTGATGCCACATACATGGGGCATGAGTGATCTGCAAAGAGACGTCGTCATACTGAGATATTTGCAAGCTTTTGAAATGCTATGTATGTTTGAGCCTTAGTCCAAGTGGATGGATGTGCAGCTGTTTTAAAAGATATCTTCGCATCCTCCCATAAACAAGAGGCAAGTTCTGTGAGATCACCTGTAAAAGTATTGGATAACAGGATAGAGGAAACTGAAGTTTTGGAAGGGGACTCTGGTGTTCAGGTGGGCCTCAGGGACAAGGAGCTCATCCACACTTCCTCTTGCCCTGCCACTTTCCCTCGGGGAAACCTGATGTTTGCCACTGAACTGGAGCAAATGTCACTTGGGTTTTATCCAGATTGACACTTGTTCCAATTTAGTGCCAGAGTGTGTTTCCTGGAGTAAAACGGCAGGACAAAGGCAGAAGTGCTTAGACCTGTGTTTCCTAGGCATGCAATGAGCAGAACTGTGGACAAGACAAGAGGTACTGGCATCACCTCTGATTTGTTAGAGCAGGAGCAGCTGGTGTGGCCGGGTGGCGCCTTGGATACTGGCATTGCTGCCACTTACTTGGGCAGGCCAGGGCAGGATGGCAGCAAGGTTAGGCCTGCATGGGCGCACCAGACCCAATCCGGTGCTCATACTGTTCTGCCCTGACCCCATCCAGGCAAACAGCAGTGATGCCGCTGTTGGGCACTGTCCCACCACAGCGACTGCTCCTGCTTTATAGCCTGTTCATGATACGTCAGAAAAGTATTGAAATACTTTTCTGACTGTATTGAAATACTGTATTGAAATACTTGTGGAATTATGTACTACAGGAGTAGCCAGTGTGACACCCTCCAGATGCAGCTGCCATCGGTCCTGGCTACAGGCCATTCTGGCTGGGCTGATGCTCTCTACCCAATGTAGTGCTTCTGTTTGAAACAGTCACTATTGTTGCTTTAGAGGTCCAAAATTATGAAATCTCTCTCTCCTCCCTCCTCTCTCTAGGTTGCCCAAAATGCTGCTCTGTGTACTCATGATCCTAATTTGCAAATGGAATTGTTTGAAGCTTCAGGAGACATATTTTTTAATGGAGAATGGGAAAAGGAAAAAGCAGTGCCTTTCTACAGGGTTGGTTTTCTGTTCTCAATCTTTCTAACTCTGCTCCTGGTCAGAGGGACGAGGCTGCGGTTGTGACCCATATGAGATAATGCTGTGTGATATGTGATAATGCTTTGTGAAAACACATTTTCCAGTAACTCTTTAAACAGTTTTTGGTGTGTTTTTTGTACTCCTTTTAGGACAAGGCTCTACCACTTGCTATTAAGATGAAGAACAGCAACGCTGAACTCCGACTCTTCAACAAACTGGTGGGATTGCTGTTAACTCTAAAGGTGTATGATGAATGTCTGGGGTATGCACAAACAGCATTAATGCTCAGTGTCAATTTAGGTAAGGAGAATATATGGAAAACTGTATAGAAGTCTTTTAAAAGTCACTTGGGGCCTATTCAGACATACATATACACCGCTGCATTCTGCGTTGCTTAAAAATTTACAACTCAACAATGTATGAACTAGCTGTTGAAAAGCATGTTGAAGGGGTACTAATCTTCTATTTGTGGATGATGACCCATTTAGAGACTGCCTTTCCCCCATATGAGTCCACCCATCAGCTGAGATCATCTTTGAGGACTGTAATTCATGTTCTGTAAGCTCATGACATTGGAGCATTTGCAGCAAGCAGTAAGGCCTTCTCTGCAGCTGCCATGATGTCATGGAAGGATTTCCAGAAGGAAAGTGTGCACTTCTTCCTCCTGAACTCTAGGAGTCAGACATTTTTGTGGTGGTCCGGCTGTTATACCACTGCTGGTTGTTGACTCTGTGATAGGCTTTCAACTAATTGTGCTTCTAAATTTGTTGTATGCTACCTTGAAGTTAATGGGCATTATCCAGCAAAGTAGTTTCATGCAAGGATTTCTGTTTATGCAACAAAACTTCATCTCCCCAGATCTGCTCTAGAGGGTTGAGGGAAAATCCAGAAAAGATTTGGAGGCATGTGAGAGACAGGGAGGGGAAGCTGTGTTGTGCCACCAGAAGTCATTGCGCTAATGGATCTACTTGGTTGGTTTACCACCCAATTACAATAGATCAGTTGGAATATTTGTTGTTGTTTAGTCGGGGGGACACGGGTGGCGCTATGGGTAAAACCTCAGCGCCTAGGACTTGCCGATCGAAAGGTCGGCGGTTCGAATCCCCGCGGCGGGGTGCGCTCCCGTTGCTTGGTCCCAGCGCCTGCCAACCTAGCAGTTCGAAAGCACCCCCGGGTGCAAGTAGATAAATAGGGACCGCTTACCAGCGGGAAGGTAAACGGTGTTCCGTGTGCGGCTCTGGCTCGCCAGAGCAGCTTTGTCATGCTGGCCACGTGACCCGAAGTGTCTCTGGACAGCACTGGCCCCCGGCCTCTTGAGTGAGATGGGCGCACAACCCTAGAGTCTGTCAAGACTGGCCCGTACGGGCAGGGGTACCTTTACCTTTACCTAGTCGTTTAGTCGTGACCCCATGGACCAGAGCACGCCAGTCACTCCTGTCTTCCACTGCCTCCTGCAGTTTGGTCAAACTCATGTTAGCAGCTTCGAGAACACTGTCCATCTTTCCCAACACTCCATCTTTCCCAACATCAGGGTCTTTTCCAGGGAGTTTTCTCTTCTCATGAGGTGGCCAGAGTCCTGGAGCCTCAGCTTCAGGATCTGTCCTTCCAGTGAGCACTCAGGGTTGATTTCCTTAAGGATGGAGAGGTTTGATCTTCTTGCAGTCTATGGGACTCAGCATATGAAAGTTGGAATATATTAAATTCAAAACATGCAAATCAATAAACGAGGTTGCATATTCATCCCTTTGTGACTGCATGTGTAAACCAGCCCTTATATTTCTCTGAAAGGTTTCTATGTCCCATGATGTGAACACAATCTGTGTGCTATCTGTATTCCTTTACACTAGAACAGATGTTCCTCCTCTTGCTACAACAGGGTTAAAGAACTTGAGGTCTACAAGGAAAACTGAGCAATCCTCAAGTGACCTCGTGCTTTTAATTTAGTGTTTACCCAGTTTTGCATAGTTGGATATTAATCTTTAGCTACAATGTTTGTGGACTACCCTATAACAGAATATGCACCTCAGCTGGGCTGCTCCGTGCAAGGAGCAAGGGAGCAGGAAAGTGGGTGGGGGAGAGAATATTGAGGGGCCTGTTCCCCCAGAATAAAATTATTGGAGGGGCCCAAGGGACCCCGGCCCTGTTGGTTCCTATGGATATGACTCTTGCCCTTTTAATGGCTGGAATGGAGCTGGCTGCACATTCAGAGCTGTCTATACACACACGCATGTCTCCATCTAGCCAAGCAAGAGACATTAACAGAATCCAAGGACACGTTGCAGACAGGAATGGGAACGCCCATAGGCAGGGCCAGTGAGGGGTCTGGCCTGGAGGCATCATTTGGCCCCCAAACTTCAGGTTCCCAATCCTTGTTTTGGGGCCGTCTCAGGCTGTTATTGTATTTATAAAGGAGAAAGATATTGCTTGCCTCATTTCAAAGGGGCTTCATGTAGCAAGTGGAATTAGCCCAGGGAGCGAGAATGACCTCTTTTGATTCCCAGTAGCATTTTCCATCTTGGGATTACATCTGTGCACAGATGGTGCAGGTTTACTTCACAAATGCAGACTTTGAACCCTGCAAGGGGAAACAGATGTATGTATTGGTGGCTGGGGAAAGCTGAAAATGGTTAGCAGGAAAATACCAGCCTCTTCTCATCTAAGACTCAAAACACTCTTTTATGAAGATGACAGAGAAGGGATCAACAGGCCACAGTTTGACCCTGGATGTTTGAATGCCAGTCCACTGAAAAACTTGTGTGTTAATACGATATTTAAGTTCTGCCTGTAATGGCCCCTTCACACATGCACATGTGGAGCATGTATGTGTGAATCTGACCCAAGTCATTCATAGATGCATACAGTGCTGTGCTTGTTTGTTTTAACTCATCTTTCGATTTCCACACTGTACTGATTCTTTTGCTTACCTCATTAGGGAATCTGTTAAATGAAAGGATAGCCTTTCACCGGCTGGCTGTTATCTACCATCATCTAGGGCAAGTTGAACTCACTGAGCACTTCTTCTTAAAAGCCTTGTCTCTCTGCTCCTCACCTCTTGAGTTTGATGAGGAAGCCCTATACTATGTAAAAGTGTACCTTGTTCTTGGAGACATTACATTCTATGACTTAAAGGTGAGACACTTGGATGGAATTGATATATGAATATGGAAAATATTTTTGCATGCTCTGGATTAAGTAACGGGACCGAGATTATACAGCCTTGCCATGACTAGGTGGGTTGGATTCCAGTATTCCAAGTCAAAAATGTCTTGCGAGGTGCTGCCATAGGAATGGTTTGTCAGTTTGCTTGCTGGTGTGAAATGAATTGGACTATTTAATTCCCTGTTCAGATGATTGGTGGGTGAAAGGTTAGTATACGCTCCTACCGCTGGCTTCTGTTTCTGTCTTCCAAACATTTGACACTTTTTTTCAAGAACTTGGGCATATTGATTGAGTCCCATGAGGAAGCTTCTGGAACAAAGTGGGAAAGTTGTACCTTTCAGTCCAATGATGTTCTGCCCCAAGTTCAAATTTGTAGAAACACATTTTAAAAAAGGAAACAAGCAGTTTGGGGATTTTGCTTGTAGCCACTTATTTGTGGTTGTTGAGGATTGGGGTGCTGTCTTGCTCTCAAAGATGGTGAATAAGGGGAGGAGAGAGGAGAGTGGGGTGGCCTTGGTTTTAGTCATATTGCTGGGTTTTGCCTAAGATAAAAGACAATGTTTTCATAATGTTGAGTTTCTGCCCTGTTCCATAATTTTATGGAGCAGATCAGATTCAACACCAAGTATGACTTAGTCAGATACCGCCCTCTCACTAAATACAGCAGGAAATATAACAGGGAGAGGCATGAAGTTTAAAGTGTCTGAAAGTCTTTGTGTCCACTAGGGCATCAGTGTGTGCATGGGTTGCAGTTTCTGTGTGCACGTTCATGTGCCTTTGTGACCATATGAATGTAGTCATTTTTATGGCTCTATTTTGATTCTGAGGTCCTTGTGGGCATGAACCTGGGTATTTGTTTACCAGTTCTGGAGAACTTTTAGAAAAATACTATATTGCTTCCTTTATTGGATGGAGAAAATCCAAATTTAGTGAGATAAAGTACAGGCTGCTACTTGGATGATGAGGCCATAAAGCGAAACAAAAATAGGCACAACAGTTCACCCTCTATGAACTGGAGTGACTAGAGTTATAAATGGCAAAAATAATTGTCACACTTCACAACAAGTAGCAATTTTGCTGCCTGCAAGGTGTGATGGTTATTCTTAGGTATTATTTAGAATATTTGTAAATTGTTGTCGGTATGAAATTCCACCGTGGCTCATTCTTGCTGCACTGTTTCAGGACCCTTTTGATGCTGCTGGATACTATAACTTGGCCCTTGCAGCTGCCATGGACTTGGGCAACAAAAAGGCTCAACTGAAGATTTACACAAGACTTGCGATAATTTACCACAACTTCCTGGTGGACCGAGAGAAGTCTCTCTACTTCTACCAAAAGGCAAGAGCCTTTGCCACAGAGCTTAATATTCGCAGAATAAATCTAGCCCCCGATCAACGTCTGAGGGCATCAAGGGAACCGTTGAAAAATGCCAAGTGAGGACGTGGCATGAGGGGACTTTGTGCTGAGGAGATTTTGATTCTCTCTTAGCAAATTGTAGCATTGCTTGTGAAATGGTACACGGTGCATAGGGCTGCTGACCTGAATGCCGGTACTTTAGCTCCTGCTCTTGCATACAGAAATGTGTTTGCAAATGTGTCTTCTGTCCCCAAATGTGCAGCTGTATGGGCTCCAGTGAAACGAGAGCAAAAGGTTACTGGAGAGCTTTGGCAACAATCCAGCTTACAAGCAGATTTTGGACCGAATTCTTCACATACTCACTGTTGGAAACAGAGGAATCTTAAAATACAATTAACTGAAATAATAAATATACTGGCTGACTAATCCTTAAACTCCATCTGTAATTAATTACTATGAATGTTCTGGGATGTGATTGTGAAATATTTGTTTTAAAATGGGGCTCAGGAATAAAAAGTTGTAATATATCCCATTCCCACCTATACCTGAGTGAGTTGAAGACAAGTTGACATGAGACAAATGTAAAATGACAGAATAATGAAGGAGTAAGCGAAGGAGCAAGGCAAATTTTGAGCTGGTGCAGTGGCTCTCTCCACTGCCCAGAGAGGAGGTGCCACCACCGTTTGTTTGTTTGTTTGTTGTTTGTTTGTTTGTTTACTGGAAGTAGGTTTGTTGCACAGCAGCACCAAATCTACTTTAATTGCACAACCTACATTTTCCAGTCTGCGGCTAAACTTCACTTACCAAAGAATACCAGTAGGGAGGCAGCTGCAGTGTGCAGTGCAGAGCCCCGCTCTCCCCAAGCCAGCCCAAGTATGTACACAGAGTTGTACACATTTAGCTAAAAAGGTTTATAACTTCTCTGCCCGCGAGAGGGCGCTCTGTGTCTTTAAGACAGGCTGCTGAATGCAAGAGCAAAAAGAAAGTTTGCGCATAACATTAAATGTGTTAAATACGCTTGATAAAACTGGGCTTAGGAAGAGCCGCTTCAAATAACCAGTCTATCTTCCACGAAATGCAGCTGTGTGTCATAAAGAAGAAAGAAAAATCAGGGCAATAGTGTGTGTGTGTGTGTGTGTGTGTGTGTGTGTGTGTGTTTGCAGGAGTAGGAACACAAAATAACCTATCATAGGTGCCAGTGCAAGAACAAGGTTCCATGTGGCTAGGAAGCCTGAGTACACAGAACAAGATTCTGTTGGCAGTAGTAGAGGAGAGCTGTGGCACAAAGATTTGGGCAGATTAAATTGCACAAGGAAGACAATCAAGCTGCACACTCTACATGATAGATGACAAAGAAGCACTCACAAGAGTGGGGAAAATTATAGAGTATCTTAAAGGCCACTGTAGATATCTAAAAATGCTAGTGGGATTATAACACTTATAATGTAATATGATTTAAGTTTAAAGGTAAAGGGACCCCTGACCATTAGGTCCAGTCGTGACTGACTCTGGGGTTGCGGCGCTCATCTCGCTTTATTGGCCAAGGGAATGAATACCGAGGCAAAATCCTGCAGCACGCTCACAACAGTGTATTTGGAGCGCATATGGGTATTACATGTACAAAATGGAGAGTGGCTCAAAAATTTTATTGGCCAGCCATGGGGAAACAAACAAAACAATACTGTCAAGCCTGTGACATATGTCAGAGAAGAGGCACCGGTCAAGACAAAACAAAAGCCAAATTGTGCCCCTTGCCTATCATATCAACCCCTTTTCAACGGTTAGGGCTGGACCTGATAGGGCCCTTGCCTAGAGCCAGCAGGCGGGGAAACAGATACATCCTCACCATAGTGGATTACGCAACCAAATATCCAGAAGCCATTCCATTGCGAAACATTGAAATAGAAACTGTGGCAACCGCTTTAATTAACGATATGAGTAGATTGGGCTTTGCCAGTGAAATAGTCACTGACTTGGGTTCTTCTTTCACATCAAGACTAATGAAAAGACTATGGGAGATGTGTGGTATTAAGCATTTAACATCAACACCTTATCACCCTGAAACTAATGGATTAGTTGAAAGATTTAATGGAACCCTAATGAGAATGATTAAAGCCTATACCGCAGAAAATCCCAATGATTGGGATGACACGATACAACCACTACTTTATGCCTATAGGGATGTACCCCAAGAAAGTACAGGGTTTAGCCCATTTGAATTATTGCTGAGATGTAGGTCGGAGCTAAACAGTATAAACTTAAAGCTTTTGCAGATGACTTGGTTTTGACATTACAGGAGCCAGAATCTAGTACGAAAAGGGTAATACAATTGATTCATAAGTTTGGTCGGGTGGCGGGATTTAAATTAAACAAGCAAAAAACCAAGGTATTGGAAAAAAAATTGACACCTTTAGAATCAGAAAGGTTTCAGAAAGAGACAGATTTAAATGTGGTTTAAAAAGTGAAATACCTAGGGGTAAACGTAACAGCCAAGAATCTGAATCTATTTAAGGATAACTATGAAAAGTGCTGGTCAGAAATTAAAAGGGATTTAGAAGGTTGGTCAAGATTGAAACTTTCCTTGTTGGGCCGAATTGCTGCTATAAAGATGAATGTATTGCCAAAAATGCTGTTTTTGTTCCAGACTCTACAGATTGTGGATAAAGTGGAGTGCTTCAGGAGGTGGCAGAGAGATATCTCTAAATTTGTCTGGCAGGGCAAGAAGCCCAGAATTAAGTTTAAAATATTAACTGATGCTAAAGAAAGAGGGGGGGTTTGCCCTGCCAGACTTAAGGTTGTATTATGAATCAGCAGCTTTCTGCTGGTTGAAAGATTGGCTGCTTCTTGGAACACTGATGTTTTGGATCTGGAAGGGTTTAATAACGCTTTTGGATGGCATGCATATTTGTGGTACGACAAGGTAAAAGTGCATAAGGCCTTCAAGAACCATATTGTCAGGAAAGCAATATTAAATGTCTGGATAAAATATAAAGACTTGCTAGAAAATAAGACCCCAAGGCGGTTGTCACCAATGGAAGCTAAGGCCCCGAAAAGACTCAATATGGAGGCCAAATGGCCGAAATATTGGGAAATATTAGAAAAGGATGGAGATACTTGGAGGTTGCAGAGTTTGGAGAAATTAAAAGATAAAGTGCGAGATTGGTTACACTATGCTCAGATTAAAGAGGTTTTTAACTCGGATAGAAAAATAGGATTCCAGGTGGAAAAATCGAAGTTAGAAACAGAACTGTTAGAACCTAAGACTAAGGTACTTTCAAAAATGTACAACTTGCTGTTAAAATGGAATACACAAGATGAAACCGTTAAATCAGCTATGATAAAATGGGCACAGGATATTGGGTACAATATCATGTTTGCTGACTGGGAAAGGTTATGGACCACCGGTGTGAAGTTCACGGCATGTAATGCCCTAAAAGAAAATATTATGAAAATGATATATAGGTGGTACATGACCCCAGTCAAGCTTGCAAAAATATATCATTTGCCTGATAATAAATGTTGGAAATGTAAGGAAACTGAAGGAACGTTCTTTCACCTCTGGTGGACCTGCCCTAGGGTCAAGGCTTTCTGGGAAATGATATATAATGAGTTGAAAAAGGTATTTAAATATACCTTCCCTAAGAAACCAGAGGCCTTCCTTTTGGGCATTGTTGGCCAGAGGGTGTTAAAGAAGGACCGAACATTCTTTATGTATGCAACAACAGCAGCAAGGATACTTATCGCAAAACACTGGAAAACCCAAGATTTGCCCACGCTGGAAGAATGGCAGGCGCAATTGATAGACTATATAGAATTAGCAGAAATGACTGGCAGAATCCGAGACCTGGGAGAAGAAGCATTGAAAGAGGACTGGAAAAAATTCAAGGACTATCTACAAAAATATTGTAAACTGTATGAGTGTTAAGAAGGATGTAAGATTAAAAATAACATGGCATCAGCAATCTAGTTGAAAGGAATATGAGAATAAGTGAAATTTGTGAAGAAGACAAACTTTGGATGAATAGGATGTCTAAATTAAACATTTAAGCTTTTGATAAAAACATTGAAAGTTAGAGACATAATATTGGGAAACTATAAAACAAGAATCGAAATAAGGTGATAAATTGCTGATTAAAATTTTATAAATTAGGAACGCAGGAATGAGAGATGTGAGGAAGCCCAAAAAGTGAAGAAAATATGGTTATTAACTATTTGATTTGGTTGTGGTATGTTTATTGTATTATGTGTTATCTTTTCTTTTTCTTTATGTCTTTCTTTGTTGATTGTATTCTGGTGATGGTTATATATGTGTTTGGTGATTATAATGTCTAAAATCTTTAATAAATATCTTTAAAAAATATATATAAAAAATGAATTATTGCTGAGATGTAAAGCGCGCCCAGGCGTCGGGGTGCAGGCAGCTCTCCCACGGCTTGCGGATAGCTTCCTGAAGCCTGGAGAGCGAGAGGGGTCGGTGCACACCGACCCCTCTCGCTCTCCAGGCTTCAGCGAAAGTCTGCATTCGCCCCATAGGACGCACACACATTTCCCCTTCATTTTTGGAGGGGGAAAAGTGTGTCCTATAGGGCGAAAAATATGGTAGAAGGGCCCCTGGAAAGGCAGTTGGTAATAGAGAGACAGTTAGGGCCGTGGGTTCTTGAGTGTGGGGAGGTAGAAGAGACAGAGAGAGGAAAATAAGACTAAGAAAGTAAGAGCAACAACGTTTGGAATGCTGTAAAAGTTTTGTGTCTGAAATAAAAGACACTCTTCTTTATTAATTGAGAAGCTGACTGAGACTGAAGTGATTTTACCATGCAGGACCTGGTTGGTGGCAGCGGATTAGTGGTGTACGGGTCAATAGTCCGGTGAGACGACCGGGGGCTCCGTACGAACACCACAGCGGACCAACTTGACTCTTCGGGCTTTGAACAGAGGGACCATCCAGGAAATTTTGATTAGTCGTACTCATGGCCAGTGTTCAGGGGGTGTAGGAGGGAGAGGGCAAGGGCAGCAGCTGGGGTGGGGTGGGGGCAAAAGGGTCTCTTGGGGGGGGGGTAGGGGGACATACTTTGTGAACATTTTCAATCAGCTTTCCTTGTAGATCTGGGTAAGTCTAGCAAAGCGTGGGCGCAATGACCGGGCTCTCCGATTGCTGCTGCAGTACTGCCTTCAGAAGGGAACTGTGAACACAAGATGCGGAATGTAAAGTAAAGTGCATGAAGGAAACCTGCTGAGCTAATTAGAATATCGTGGAAAAGTTCATTTATTTCAGTAATTCCAACTTAAAGGCGGAAACTAATATATGAGATAGACTGGATTATGGGAACGTACTGTAATCAGATGTTTATTGCTACAGCTAGTCATCGAGGTGTCAAAATCAGTTGTAATAGAATTGGACTGAATTAAACAAGTGGATAAGGAAAATTAAAATTAATTTTTCTTAATTTTAATCACAAGTGGACTCTTTATTATTGCAATTGCAGTGTTCAAAATAAAATCTAGTCGTACCCTTAGTTTTGGAATAGCTTAGTT